GCCTGGTACTTGGTACATATTTACCTGCTACTTACTTGGTACATATTTACCTGCTACTTACTTGGTACATATTTACCTGCTACTTACTTGGTACATATTTACCTGCTACTTACTTGGTACATACTTACCTGGTACTTCTTTACCTGGTACTTGGTATGTACTTACTCACTACTTACTTACCTGGTACTTGGTACATGATTACCTGGTAGTTGGTACATACTTATTTGGTACTTACTTACCTGGTACTTGGTACATACTTACTCGCTACTTACATACCTGGTACTTGGTACATACTTACTTGGTACTTACTTACCTGGTACTTGGTACGTACTTACCTGGCACTTGATACATACTTACTTGGTACTTACTTAGTTGGTACTAAATTACCTGGTACTTGGTATGTACTTACCTGGTACCTACTTAGTTGGTAGTTTACTTATCTGGTACTTGGTATGGGCTTACTTGGTACATACTTACCTGGTACTTAATGACCTGGTACTTGGTACATATTTNGTGTACCAGGTTAGTAGTCTGTACTGAGCTGTGTGGCTCAGTTGGGACCCTGTAAGTACAGGGGTAAAGATCAGGACCTGGACCTGGATCCAGAGACCAGTGTACAGGTGAAAGTGACCGATGAGGTTCAGGCTCAGGCTCAGGTTCAGGCTCAGGTTCAGGCTCAGGTTCAGGCTCAGGTTCAGGTTCAGGTGTTTGTGTACAGGTGCTCTTCCTGTTTTGTTGGTGTTTGTGGTCAGGAACACATGAACGAAGCAGGGAAAGAAAAGAACGAGGGAGGAAGAAAAGATTTTAAGTGTTTTAAATCATTTTTCCCTTCTTTACTTCTTGCTCCCCTTTTTTCTTCTCTGTCTGTGTTGCGTCTCGTCCCCTCGCCTCTTTTTTCCCACCTGTCTTTGAATGCAGCACTGACCCGTTTAAAGCAGCCGCCGCAGCCCCGCCCCCGACCGGACGGCGGCGCTAACACGTCGTGTCGCCATCACAGAAGAAGACATTTGAAGGGTTTTTGTTTCGGTGTCCTTTGATTGTTTCAGCCTGGATCCGACGCCGACTTTCACCAACCATTTGTTATTAAATGATCTGAAAAGTCCAAAAATCTTCTTGTCCAATAAAGCTGGAACTTTGGTTTGTAGCTCAAACTGTAGCGTGTGCTTCTTTGGTTCTGGTTCTGGAGCCTGAACCCTGTCCAGGTGTTTAGGTCTGTGTGGATCAGGATCAGGTCTGTGGTGGCTCAGGTGAGCAGCGTTTGTTTACCGGGACGTTAAACTTTTTCTAAACCTTGTTTTGTTCATTTGTTGCCCCACTCTGTTTATTATTGCAATAAAACTGTGTCGTCATCATCAAACACCAACCAGAATCTGTTTGTTTTCAGGG